CGACTCTCCACAGTTTGGTTTGATACCATGTTAGGAACCACAGATCTCCACAATGATATGATATTGTTCATTTTGAGCCTAAGCTCTCTGTGACTTTACTTTTAGTTTTTCCAAAATGACTCGTAATAATAGAGATGCATTCTTTACTTATAAACTCCCGATCATCTCTTAATACTCTCTCCCAATAATCCTGAATATACGTGACCCACAAATAAACACATTTTGTTACTTTCCTGGGTAAGTTCCATTGAAATGGAAATATTTAGAAAAGTTTTAGGGGCTTTGTATTTCCACGATTGTTTGGTCTCGTGATAGTGTGAAGGAACTCTCTTGGAAAGTGTAATGAATTGAAAGCTTGGAACCAAATGGATTATTGGATTCTATGGTCGAATATTAGAGCCATTTACGTTCATATTCTATATCAAATTTACATAAAACTTAGATGATTCGCTGATTCGATCCGTGCATGCTACTATCAGAGATGATGCTGCTACCACTAGAAGTTGTTCGTTGGAGTCATGTGTGGTTGCACGTAGACATGTCTATAGATAAAAATATCGAGAGAAATTTAGAAGATAATCATCGACATTAGTTTGAGCTAAGGACGTGGGACATTACAATTGTTATTATTGAACTACTTTAGCTTGTTGACGAAGGTTAGGCACTTGGTTGGTGAAGTTGTCCATTCATGGGGCACCTAAAATAAAGAAGACCCATGAATAAAGAAATAACCCTACCTTTTTCTTTTCTTTTCTTTTCTTTTTTCTTGTTGATTTTTCTTTTTCTTAAGATTCTTTCTTAAGGTTTTTCCACGAACCTACGACGATATGTAGTATGATTATGCATTATTGACTAAAAGATGCTTTTAAGAGTGTTCATATGACTCGACAACTCGTTATATGCAAACTACCTATGACACACGATCAATTCGACTCAAGGTTTGATGCTAATAGAAGTAGCAGACTCTCCTAGTAGCAAAGGAAAATGACATGACTTTTTTTCATCGTAATAATGGGCAGGTCTCATGAAATCAATGTCTGACTGTCAGAATCAAATTTAGGTCATAGTAGAAGGGCATAGCAGCACTATTCTTAGACATAGCATTAGATGGGCAGGCTGGGCCTAAATTCAAACTAAGCACTTCTTTGTTTGAGCCCCTCTCACGCATACGATCGAAAGATCTTGTCCTGGACTGGGTAGAGATTCTCGTGAGATAGAGGAGGGAGAAAGGTTGAGTTGGGTTACATTTTCTTTTTTATATTGGGTCGAGCAACCTAACCCACCTCAACTCGACCCGTTGAGTTGAGTATGAACTTGATTTGGATTATTCGAGTTAGCAATCCAACCAACTCAAAATTTCAAATTTGTTCAAAAGATTTTTTCAACCCAATCTGTATGCACTAACCGCTGCTAATAAAATATATACCATAATAAAGAATTCCAAATGGGTAAGTTCGTGGAAAATGCTACCACCTTTTAGACTTTATTCCAACCCTTCATCCACAAGTTAGACAAAAAAGGGTATAGAGAGCCCACATATCCACAATCATGATATGAGAGAATCCAAGTCCACATTTATATATTCAAATTATATATATATAAGAATTTCAAAAATTAAATTAAAAAAAATTGGAAAGAGGAATATCTGCGAATGAGACTAATCTTGAGGACAGGATGACTACGAAAATGTTTAAGAAAAATTAAAGTTACAGTCCATACTAACAAGATGCATCGAAACTAATTTTTTAAGATTAAGTGTTAATGTGTTGAAATTATTTAAGATATAGAAAAAAAATATAATAAAATATTCGATCCGTGCATGCTACTATCAGAGATGATGCTGCTACCACTAGAAGTTGTTCGTTGGAGTCATGTGTGGTTGCACGTAGACATGTCTATAGATAAAAATATCGAGAGAAATTTAGAAGATAATCATCGACATTAGTTTGAGCTAAGGACGTGGGACATTACAATTGTTATTATTGAACTACTTTAGCTTGTTGACGAAGGTTAGGCACTTGGTTGGTGAAGTTGTCCATTCATGGGGCACCTAAAATAAAGAAGACCCATGAATAAAGAAATAACCCTACCTTTTTCTTTTCTTTTCTTTTCTTTTTTCTTGTTGATTTTTCTTTTTCTTAAGATTCTTTCTTAAGGTTTTTCCACGAACCTACGACGATATGTAGTATGATTATGCATTATTGACTAAAAGATGCTTTTAAGAGTGTTCATATGACTCGACAACTCGTTATATGCAAACTACCTATGACACACGATCAATTCGACTCAAGGTTTGATGCTAATAGAAGTAGCAGACTCTCCTAGTAGCAAAGGAAAATGACATGACTTTTTTTCATCGTAATAATGGGCAGGTCTCATGAAATCAATGTCTGACTGTCAGAATCAAATTTAGGTCATAGTAGAAGGGCATAGCAGCACTATTCTTAGACATAGCATTAGATGGGCAGGCTGGGCCTAAATTCAAACTAAGCACTTCTTTGTTTGAGCCCCTCTCACGCATACGATCGAAAGATCTTGTCCTGGACTGGGTAGAGATTCTCGTGAGATAGAGGAGGGAGAAAGGTTGAGTTGGGTTACATTTTCTTTTTTATATTGGGTCGAGCAACCTAACCCACCTCAACTCGACCCGTTGAGTTGAGTATGAACTTGATTTGGATTATTCGAGTTAGCAATCCAACCAACTCAAAATTTCAAATTTGTTCAAAAGATTTTTTCAACCCAATCTGTATGCACTAACCGCTGCTAATAAAATATATACCATAATAAAGAATTCCAAATGGGTAAGTTCGTGGAAAATGCTACCACCTTTTAGACTTTATTCCAACCCTTCATCCACAAGTTAGACAAAAAAGGGTATAGAGAGCCCACATATCCACAATCATGATATGAGAGAATCCAAGTCCACATTTATATATTCAAATTATATATATATAAGAATTTCAAAAATTAAATTAAAAAAAATTGGAAAGAGGAATATCTGCGAATGAGACTAATCTTGAGGACAGGATGACTACGAAAATGTTTAAGAAAAATTAAAGTTACAGTCCATACTAACAAGATGCATCGAAACTAATTTTTTAAGATTAAGTGTTAATGTGTTGAAATTATTTAAGATATAGAAAAAAAATATAATAAAATATTATAATAAAAAGTTGTGGAATTTTTTCCCCTCAAAAGTAGAGAAGAATTATAAAGTGATTATTCATTCGGTAAAAAAAGTAATGAATATGGAATAAAAGAGAGGTGCATGAATGAACCACGACCACATCCTAGGAGCAATTCTAATAATAATAAGATAACTAAAAAAATGCTTAACAGAAATGAAAAGATGCATGTGAATAAAGACAAAGGATGCAAGAATGACGTATTGGTTTGTGAGAATAGTTTTCACTATTAGAAGCGAGAAGTAACGTGATCATGTCGTAGAAAATACCGAGACTATCAAGTGATAAATTCGAATTCCAATTCCTAAACATGGGTCGTTACAAGTAGGGTCACTTACTACTTAACTTTTTCCGTTAAAATGCATGAAATTTGAAGTGAGCGGCGAAAATCAATACAAAACTAGTCATAGTATACGAGTGCATATGAATGTGGAGTATTTACTGTACATACTTCTATCTCTAACTTATGACGAAGGATGGGCAAATAAGATCAGGCTTTTTAGTCGCAGCACATATTATATCATTATAGAAATGAGAGATTTTCACAAACTTTCATTTATTACAAACACAAATCCATTATTCCATATCCCATTTGGCGAACAGAGTAATAGACAATAATACTAACATAATATATACTCTTGCGGAATTCATAAAGTTCGAACACAGCACAGAGGGAGACCAAAAAAAGCACAAATTTCAGACACAAAAACACAAACAACAGGTTAAAAGAACACATCTGCATAGGACTTCCGTCATCTCATGCCACCAAGTAGGAGTGTTAACGGACAGGGAGTGACATCGAGATGGATCATAACTTAAGTGTAAAAGAATTCTGTCACCTAGTATGATTTAGGAGGTGGCGTCGGCCAGTTTTCGGGCAGCTGAACTTCATTCCACACAGTAACTCTTTGATCAAAATCATTCATCGAATCAGCCTGAAAAAAGGTTGTTCTTCGATTTGAAGGACTCTTAAGCAAAACTCGTGTCTCGACCCCACGTTTAAGGACTTTGTAACAAACTCTATACATCACCACAATGTTCTTGGGACCTTCAGGGAGCTGCTCAAACTCTCTAACTTTAGCATTCAAAAACAACAAATCATCCAGCCGAGGGGCAGAAAGAGACTCCACAATGTTAGGGAAGACATTGAAGTAAAGAGGGCCATCTTTCAAATTGGCCTCCACCATCCCCAAAAGGGAATCTTGTAAATTGCGATGCCTTGCATCTCTAAGGCACAAAAGCACTTTGGCATTCAAGGGTCCTCTTGTTAAGGCCTTGACTCCAATTTGAACCATTCCAATGTGAATTGTTTGGTACTTGTTTTGGAGAGGCCATAAGTCATCGTCTTCATGAATCAAGTTTAGATATCCACCGCCGTTGCTTAGAGGGCTGTTCCCTTCTTTGGTTTTGAGAAGGGAATTACGAGAAAAGTGAGTGAAGAGGTTTGTTTTGTAGATTTTGGAAGTGGGAAGAGTTGGGATGTTCCATGTTAAAAGATCATCTTTGCCTTTCTCCACTATATCATATTCATCGTTGTCTAAAGTGTGGGATGAGACTGATTTGGAACATGAACTTCTTCTTCTTCTTCCACACTTGAAAAGGTTTGCCATTTTTGGAAGAGCTGAAATGGGGATTTTGTGTTGAAGATCAAGTGTGTGTTGGGGGTTGGGAAGGAGTTTATGAACATTTTTGTGGAAGAAGATGAGAATTTATAGTAGTGGGATAGTTCTCTCAAAATAAGAAAAGTTTACAAAGTTGATCTAAAGATGAAAGGAAAATAAAGTTCTGTTCTTATTTAGTGTCTTTATTTTAAGATGGATGGGAGATGTATTGGAGTCTCACATGGGGGAAGATCATGGGTATAAAAGTAAGAGACACTATCTCCATTGGTAGAGACCATTTGGGCCAAACCAAAAGCAAAACTATAAAAGTTTATACTCAAAGTAGGCAATATAATACTATTGTGGAGATCCATTGTTTCTAACATGGTATCAGAACCAAAACCATGTCCTTATCATAACTTAGTCATGCTAATAGAATCTTCAAGTGTCGAACAAAAAAGTTGTGAGCCTCGAAAGTGTAGTCATAGTGACTCAGGTGTCGAACAAAGAGTATACTTTGTTCAAGGGTTGTAGAGAGGAGGTTATATGATGTACTTTGTTCGAGGGGAGGATTGTTGAGAATTGGTTGAAATCCTACATTGGCTAATTAAGGGGAAGATCATGGGTATAGAAAGTTTATGCTTAAAGTAAACAATATCATACGATCGGAAAGTTTCAATAATACTCCCTTCTCGTAAACCAAAAATATTGATTGATTAGAGAGAAGAAAAGATCAGAAGATGACAAGCTCTGAACTTCTGATGCAAGTTTCACTGCAGAAGTATTCTGTGGGACATCATTTCTATAGTACCATTTTCTCATAATGAAAGAATCTTTGTTTTCTATTGCTTTTATCTTCATCTTTTGGTTCTTCTTTCTCCATTAAAAAAGAGGGTGAGGATCTTTCCAAGAACTTGCCAAGCCATTTGCAAGAACCTTACTTGATCATTCAAACAGATTGATAAACCCTGCAAGAATCCAAACCCCATCAGCCAAACAGGCCCCTTTTTCATTTACTTAAAACGTCACTTTTGCATTCAGCCCTTGAGAAACCACCATTTAGAAGTACCTTCTAATTTGAAGGGAGCATTTGAGGTATGAATTTTATATCATATCTCCAGCTTTTCTAGTTAAGTAAAAGGTTTAGAGGTCAGAACTAAGAAAAAAATATGTTTCCAATCAAAGTTCAGAAGCCTCAAGTTTACAAAAGGTCGAGTTTAGAAGAAACGTTTAAGTAGTGAAGTTATGTTTGCTGATATCTCCAACAAAACCCAAGTTTGGCAACTTTTCCCCAAACATGAGTTCGACTTAGGAGTGTGGGTAATGGACGTGTCTGTCACATGTTCATGAGTATTCGGACATCAATAACAGAGTGAATTTCCATGGACGTGTCTTGACACGTGTTCATGGACATTCGACATCAACATAAGAGTGAATTGACATTTTCAGCAAGGGTCCAAAGGAGGATGGTAACAGTTGGGGCCGTCCGAATTTCCATGGATGTCAATAAACCTCTGAAACGAGGCATAAATTTACCAAAAGAAGTTGTATCTGAATAGGCCATGAGTGTGTGATGAAGATGATAAGGTTTATATTAGGTTTTTTGCACTTTAGAGCAGATCACAAGAGAACCTCGAAAGGAGGTAATTTTAATAGAAGCAAACTTATATAACACTCATGCAGACAAACAATTAACTTGGGTACAAAATTATACCAAGTTCAGTAGCATCCATTTCTCTCCGGCTGTTGCAGAACAGTAACAAGCACGAGGGGAGAACGAGACTATTACACTCGTTCAACCTTATAACATCGACTTATAAGGCAAAAAAATTTAAACCTCGCTTACCAAATCATTCATTCCTCCCGTTTTGTTGAGCAGCCACGTAGTTGCGAACGACTTCCATTGCTAATTGATGTGCATTCTTATTCTGAAGCCTTGCAAGGTTATCCATGGCCTCAAACGTATCCTTATCAGCAAAAAGCTTCAGATTGTATCGTGCTGGTGCAAGCACAGGACCATCCCATTTTTCAACCAGCTCTTTAAGTTTCTCAAATCCCTGAGCATTAAACCAAAACAACCACCATTTCACGAAGAGTTCTGGTAAGTCGAAAATAATTCAATTCAAAATTTTAGACACTTTAGAAACAAACTCACCAAGCGGTTCGTGAAGTCTCCAAATGATTCTTTAGAGTGTCGTTTGCGCTTCCAATGATAAAATAAGGGTTCCAAGACTTTTTCAAGGTCATGGATCTTAACTTTATCCATAAAAGTCCTTGCCAATGACGTTTGATTGGGTTTTCCCCCAAGCCATAACTATTACAAGGTAAGAGCACACAAATACGTGAAGCATTCACGAAGATATAAATCGAGTATGCATATTCAAAAGTTTCCACTTAGAACGGAGTAAAGCATCAGCTTGCAATTCGTGATACCTGGTAGCTGTTCGGACCGTCACCTACTAATCCAAGTTCAGCCATATAAGGCCTAGCACAACCATTTGGGCAACCAGTTATCCTAATAACAACAGACTCGCTGTACTTGAGACCAACCTGATAACAGGACAAGCATAGCCATCAGTGCCTAAATTCTCATGTATTTAATGTTCATATGTTCATGCACACAGAAACAAGCCCCCAATCAAGGATCAATCCGTGGGACTAGTCATTCTAACCATCAGTTTTTTTTATCAAACAAGAAGAGCATTAAGCACTATTGAAGAACTTCAGGGCACTAAAATAATAGATACAGGGAAAAAAATAAAGTTTTTCTTTTTTTGGTGTAGTCGACAACATTAAAGAAATGACAAAAACATTACAAAAGAAAATGATTTTTTTAAAGCAAGAAAATTGGTTTAGAAAAAAGGAATCAAGCTATTTTCTTCCTAATTAAAGAAGGAAAAGTACAAATGCTTCAAAATCATGAGGGTACCTCCCCTCCCCTAAGGCAAGGCATTATCACACCCGGCATTGCAAACACAGGTAATCGTGTTTGCCCATCAATAATATACCTTTTCAAATACAGCTCGAACTCGCTTAAGGATGTCTGGAATTCCTCTCTCGGCTTCTGTTATTGCCAAAGGGCAAAGTGGCATAGCTGGACATGCCATCGCAGTTAAGTTCAGGGGATCTACATACCTTGGTTGCTGTAAAATCATAATTCAGTCAAAAAAAGTGCACATACAAAAGGAAAAAGAAGTTCCACCAAAAAAATGGAAAACAACTTCATAATTCTTCATAATTCTAACTGCCATGTTAATATAACACAAATCCATCCTAGCATAAACAGCTCAGCATCAATTGTGCATATTACAACAGAAATAGAAATTCTTGCCGAAAAGCTAGAACTATTCAATTCTAGGAAAGCCAATTGAGATGTTGGTGCTAAATTGAAACATGTAGGTTTATATTTTCAGAAAGAACTCAATCACCAAGTAGTGCCACATAATAATAGTTTACCAGCAAACCACTTTGTGCAAGAACTGTAGTAATGGGACGCTTCCATGCATTGCGAATGTTGGTCAAGATGATGTTTTGATTTGGGGTGATACGAACATCCAAATTATATTTCTCTATCACCTCCCTCAATGTCTTCTTCATTTGCCCAGCAATACGACCACTATCAACATGTAGCCCACAATATAAGTGACCATCACCCTGAAAAGTAGCAAGATTCTCAGGCAAGGTGGACAATAAATGTTCAAGTCTATGAGACAAAAGCCAGACATCAAAGGAACTGTTCATTTGCTGATAGTTTATGGAGGCACTAAAGGAAAAAGATCATCATTATCGATTATTGTATTTAATTTCTTACAGATGATGGCCCTCCTTATCAACAGGCATGCCAAAAATGAAAATCAAATTCCTGGATAACATTTTTTATCACAGTATTTAAAATACAATTTCAATACAATAATGTTTCTAACTTTAATCGATGAATTTAATACATAAAGCTCGGGGGAAATGATATTTAGGTGGCATACATTTTCCAGAAGTATATACAACGTTCATGTTTGAAAGTAGAATGTGTCTAAAACAATTCAACATTCCATGTCTATAGCAAATTCTTATCAAACATTGCAGTGTGAATACTGTAGCCTGAATCAAAGAGATGACGTAAGGCTCCCCTCAGCATTTAAAAGAAGCAACAATTCAAATATTAGAGCTAACAACATCAGATGTCGTACAGGGTTCAGAACTAACCTGCTCGTGCCACCCCAAGTAACTTTCAAACTTCCACTCTGGTAATTCCCGGAAAGATTTAAATTTCTTCCCATAATATTGCTCCACAACACTCCTAAATTTTTCAATCCCCCAGGAACTGATCAAGTATTTTAGTCTACTATATTTGCGATCATCTCTTCTACCATTTTCACGTTGCGTGACAACAATAGCTTTAACTGCATATAGAATATCCTCCTTGGGAACGTATCCTAATGGCTCTCCCAAACGTGGAAAGGTGGTCTCTTGTCTATGAGTTCTTCCCATGCCCCCTCCAACCTGCAGAAGGAATTATTAAGCAAAATGCTACTGGAACATGGGACATTTTATTCTCTAAAAAAAATAGTAACTTCAAATTCTGATATTTGTAGGTATGAAATCCACTTACATATATGTTGAACCCTTGAGGCTCCCCCTCAGCATCAGAAATGACGACAACACCAATATCGTTTGTGAGAATGTCTACAGAGTTGTCAACTGGAACAGTCACTGCAATTTTAAATTTTCTAGGGAGGAATTGAGTTCCATATATAGGCTCAGGAGAATCCTCAAAATTTGTTCCATGAGAATTGTCATTACGGGCCTCCACCACTTCTGGAGGTTCTGCCGACATGAATTTCTCCCCATCTACCCACATATCATAATAAAATCCTGATTGAGGAGTTAATAAAGCAGCAATGTTTTCGGCAGTTTGCTGGGCAAAAAGGTAATCTTTTCTCACAAGTGGGGCAGCAGGAGCAAGAACGTTCCTGTTAAGGTCACCACAAGCACCAAGCGTTGAACCCATGCTCCGAATAATGGTGCTCATAACTGTCTTCAGATCCTTCTTGAGAACTCCATGTAGCTGAAATGTTTGTCTGGTGGTTAGACGAAGCGTCCCAATTCCAAATTGATCAGCAAGATCATCCATTGTCAAGTACAGCTGGTTTGACACTTTCCCACAAGGATTCTTGGTACGAAGCATGAACGAATAAGACCTCTGTCCTCGATCTTCTCTGTTATACTGCTGATAGCTCCCATGAAATTTGATCAATTGTGTGGCAGCCTCGTTTATGTTAGGGGCATCTGTCAACAACTCTTCATTAAGAGGGTATCTTATATAATTGCTATGTTCTTTGAAAATTTCAACCTTACTACGCTTCGGCTCAGCTGCAACACCAGGCTTTGCTGGCTGCAAAATTGGCCACAAATTTTACAGAAATATAAACCTATGTCAGTAAAAATTCACCTTACTAATCAAAAACATATCACCAGGTAACAAAAATCCATGCAGCAACAAGCATTACTTTCATAGTCTTCATATTATTCCGTGGAATGGGTTAATTTTAAGGATAATCAACAAACTTCTACCACAATAGAGCAGAAAGTAAAAGAGAATCCATCTAAAAAAAATCTTTTAGTAGCCAACAAAATCAAAAGAGAATATATTCGATTATAACTGTGGCACGATAGAAACATAAAGCGAATCTTTCGACACCATGCCGCGATTAGTAATGAACTTCACTTCCAAAGCTCATTTTCCCAACCAGAACAAATCCAGGGGCAACCAACCACGTTTGGTGAAAGTCAAAACATCCCAGCTCAAATTCTCACGAATTTGGTTCCTCAAACGCGAGAGACAACAGAAATAAGCCTTTCAAGTCGAATAGTTCATACAGAAAGTACAAAAAAACTAAAACAAACTCGACATTTCTGCATTCATTTCCATCTTAAACAAAAAACGAAAAGGAAACAAAAGAACTACACAAAATCACATTCTATTACAACAATTACGAAGATCAAAAGCAGCAACAACCTCAGAGAGTGAAAACCGAGAAACAGATTGACATAGTGAAACGTAAAACAAGTAAAAGTGGTGATGGATCGTACCGTGGAGACGGCGCGGACGAGGAGAGGATAAGAAGAAGAGGAAGAAGGAGACGAAGAAGGGGCGAAGAAGCGGACATGTCTGGCCAAAGCGAGGGAGGTTGTGGATTTGAGGCCATGAAAGGTATGAATCTGGATGGTTGGGTCGGTGAACACGGCGGCGTTTGAGGCGCCGAACGACGTCGTCGTCATCGGAGGGAGGAGGTTGTGCTGCTGAAATTGAGTGAGTGAAGCAGAGAAGAAGAGAATCAGATTGGATGGCAATGGACGAGAGAGCAAAAAGCACCCGAAATAATCTTTTAAAAAATACCAAATTAAATGGTTTTAAAAAAATCGAAAACGAAATTAAAAATATTAATAATAAAAAAACAAAAAGGAGTCACGTGCCGCACACGCGTGGCCTTTGAAGCTCTTGAAGAGACACACGTCCACTCTCATTTCATTCACGCGCCTAGGAACTTATGGGATTTTTTTATTTTTTATAAAAGTAAAATCTTAGTGATATTTTTAGATATTTAATTTAAATTTACAAACTTAATTTTAATACATATACCTCAAAAATTATCTTTAAAATTATTTATCTATATATATATATATATATAATTTTATAGTATATTTTAAAATTAATCATAGGTCAGTTTTTAAGACTATCGGTGGTAGTAAGAGCAATAATTATATTTTTCTTTATAAAATATTTTTAAATTTATTAAGATATTTTCTTAACATAAATTATATTAAAAAATGAAAATGTTCATTAAATTTTTTTTAATGAATATTTAAAAAAATATAGAAACTATTCGTAAATTTTCTATTTTTCCATTACTACAAAAATAAATAATCAATGAAAATTTTAGTGGAACAAAGTAATAAAAAAAATAGACAATTTAATTAAACGATAAATTTAAGAGTATAAATTGAATTTTAAAAAATTATATATATATATATATATATATATATATATATGATGAGATTCTCGGCGGCGGCGCATTTGAATGTGTTGTGAAATGTGGGCACGCGCGTGAAGAGGCGCGTGGAATGTTTGAATAGTACATTAAACCTGGACTTGACCCAGGTCACAGGGTATTATTTACTAATTTTTGTTAAGTTATTAATTGGATTCCTCTCCTTTTATTTATTTATTTATTTCTTATCATTTCCAATTTTCCAATTTAATTCCAAACAATAATTTAGCATCCTAAAACCATCAAATTTTCATTACTAAAATTATTTTATTATTTTAATTTATATTTTTTAAAAAAATTTGTAGCAATTTAGTTTTTTTTTTTAATAATTTAGTCCCGTTTACTTTTAAGTAAAAATTATAATGGAAAATGTAAATTATTCACTAAAAAATGTTTGACGATAAAAAAAAATCTCACTACATGCAAATTCTCCTTAAGAATTTTGGCAAAAATAAATGGGATGAAAATTGAAATAGGAAGCAAGGACGAGGACGGGGATGGAGACAGAGAAGGTTTGTCTGTCCCCATCACACCCCCTAAACGTTCACACCCCTAAACATGTTTGCCTGGAAATCCTCTATTTCCATAAAAATATATGAGAACTGAAATTGAAATAGGAGACAAGGATGGAGAAGGCTTCTCTGTCTCTGTCCCTGCTGTTTGCAAATTTCCTATGGAGAATTCCCGCAAAAATAGATGAGAAATGACAATTAAAATAGGAGGCAGGGATAGGGATGGGGTCGGGGGCGAGGACAAGGATAAGGACAAGGACGGGGAGGCTTCTCCATCCCCGTCCCGCCCCTAGACATCTCTATTTCTAATCCAAGATAACACTATTCCCGAAAAAAAAACGTTGTACTAATTCAAAGGTAGAGATGAAAGATTTTGAAGCAAATTCATACATAAATTGCAAGAGTAAATGAAATCACTTGTTGGCCTAACTGATTATATACACACAATAATCACACACTAAGGTCCTCAACCAATCCTTGTTTCTTCCCTTTTACCCTTTTGTTTCTCTCTACAACTCAATGCTACCCTCCCAAAACAGACACCCTTAAGAGGCCCTTTTAGACTCTCCTCTCCACCATTCTAATCCTCACCCTATACCCCCAAAATGTCTGTTCTATCTCTTCTACCATCTAAAACATCTTCAATCCATTCAAATCCACAAAATCAATAACCTTCCTTCCAATGTTTATGATTCGTTTACCTTCAACGATCCATCTCTCATTAACTTCAAACTCAGACTGTTAAATCTTTCTCGTGAGTACTGTCTCGATGCTTTTCTCCAATCTGTACCCGCCTTCATCATTGCTGCAAACTCCTCGTAGCTTATACGCCCGTCCTAAAAGAAATGAAAATGAAAACATTAACTGTGCACGGGAGGAAGAACGACAATGTTGTTGGATTATGGAGTCAACTGCTTATTTATAGCTTACCCAATGGTTATACATAGTGAAGTTATGTATAGATTACATGTAAAGTAAATGATCATATATATATATAGTATGCATAGTGAAAAAAAAGTTATATATAGTAGATGACTATATCTGGTAAAACTATAGTGAACTAAACCATATATATACCATTAGGCAGTGCTTTGAAAACACATGCTTTTTGCGGTATCTTACATCAATTGGAGAGGGGAATGAAACATTCTTTATGAGAGTATAAAAACCTCTCCCTAGCAGACGCGTTTTAAAACTTTAAGGGGAAACTCGAAAGGGAAAGCCCAAAGCGGACAATATCTGCTAGTGGAGGGCTTGGGCGATTACAAATGGTATCAGAGTCAGACATCAGGCGGTGTGCCAACAAGGACATCAGTCCCCAAAGGGGGGTGGATTGTGAGATCCCACATCAATTGGAGAGGGGAACGAGTGCTAGTGAAGATGCTAGGCCCTGAAGGGCATCGGTTGGAGAGGGGAAACGAAGCATTCTTTATCAGGATGTGCAAAGCTCTCCCTAGCAGACGCATTTTAAAACCTTGAAGGGAAGCCCGAAAGGGAAAGCCCAAAGAGGACAATATCTGCTTGAAGGGAAGCCCGAAAGGGAAAGCCCAAAGAGGACAATATCTGCTAGCAGTGGGCTTGGGCGATTACACTTACATACTTGAAGTTTTCAATATAAATCTCTAGCCCTCTCTCCTGTTTTTTGTGTTCATCTAGATCGAGTGTGTGTTGTTGTGTCATCCTAACAAATATATCAAACAATACCCACGAGAGACGGTTTGAAGTTATCAGAGGTCTTGGGTTCAAGCTTCAAGAGAAAACTTAACATTTCAAAACACTAGTTGTCTCTCAATGTCGGCCTTAGGGTCGGGTCAGGTCAGCAAAGCCGTCTAGAAGATTAGTGGAGCCTAGATATCTAACATATATAGATATAGATATGAAATGATAAGTGATAAATGAAGCAAAACATTCTTATCCATCCTATTGGTATCGATTTTCAATTGTCATTATGATCCTCCAACCTTATAACAAATGCACAGAAACAAAGATAGCAATGATTTGAATGGGGTGTTTGAACCCTTCAGGTAATTTGGTTAAGGGTAGATCTTGTAAGAAACTAATACTGACCTTGTCCGTGTCCACGTCATGCATGATGGCATTGATAACCTCCTCGCTGTTAGTCTCATTGCCGTCGTTAAGCGCGTTTCTAAGCTCTTCAATCTCTATGTAGCCACTCTGGTTTCGATCAAAGAATGAAAAAGCCTTGTGCAGGTGTTCGTCATTGGCCATCTTTCTAAGATGCACCGAAACCGCGACGAACTCTCCATAGTTCAATGTTCCATCACCATCAACATCAGCCTGCCAAGAATTTAACACTTTGCTTATTAACAATCATTTTACGTCGAGAAAAGTAAGAAAGCTCGAGCGTAACGTTTAAACTAAGATGATGAATAAATGTGCAGAGCTCGAGGAGCAATCAGACCCAGATCTGTTGTAATGCTTACAGATTCTACGAGTATCTGAAGATCAGGGTCGGGAATCTGATGGCCAAGCTTTTTTAATCCAACACGAAGCTCCTTGAGATTTATCTTCCCTTTTTTGTCAGTATCCATAGTTTCGAATGCCTCCTTGATTCCAGCCACTTCCTCTACAGATAAATGCTCCGCAATAACCTAATATACAACATAATTCAAATCTTGAGACATGAAGCTTCATGGATATGAAATATTCAGCAAGAAGTTTCAGAACTATTGCAAGGTTTTCTTCGTATTCGAGATATTATTACCCGTAGAGCTCTTTTCTTCAGCTTGTTCATCACGGAAAACTGCTTTAGCCTTGCTTTCACGGTCTCGCCCAATGAAACGTTTGGAGCCTTTTTGGCGTTCTGTAACCATGGATGTTCTGCATATGAACAGAAAGGGAGATCATTTAGTAGTGAAGCACTCAATTGAAAACTCTACACGATCTTTAGTGACAGAATAAAACTAGTACCCAGCACTTCCTGAGCTGTGAGTCTCCTTTTGGGGTCAGGATCAAGCATTTTCCTCACAAGGTCCTTTGCGTTGTCAGATACTATAGGCCAAGGGTCCCTCTTAAAATCAATTACCGAGCGAATGATAGCTTGTGCAACTCCCTGTTCAGTTTCTGCTCACGAAATATGAAGAAAGTCAACCAGACAGAAATGGATAAATGGACAAGAATTTTCATACACTGACGTTCTTATGATACGGATCATAATCAGATTGAACGAAAAACATAAGATTTTATTTGCTAACTTTCCCTTTCAGGTTTTTAAAACGCGTCTGCTAGGGAGAGGTTTCCACACCCTTATAAAGGATGCTTCGTTCTCCTCCCCAACTGGTATGAGATCTCACAATCCACCCTCCTTCGGGGCCCAGCGTCCTCACTGGTACTCTTTCCCTTCTCCAATAGATGTGGGACTCCCTAATCCACCCATCTTCGAAGCCAGTATCCTTGCTAGCACACTGCCTCGTGTCCACCCTTTTCAGGGCTCAACCTCTTCACTAGCACATCGCCTGGTGTCTAGCTCTAATACCATTAGTAACAGTCCAAGCCTACCGTTAGCAGATATTGTCCTCGTTGGGATTTCCCTTTCGGGCTTCCCCTCAAGGTTTTTAAATTGTGTCTGCTAGGGAGAGGTTTCTACACCCTTATAAAGGATGCTTCATTCTCCTCCCCAACCGATGTGGGATCTCACAATCCACCCTCCTTCGAGGCTCAGCGTCCTCGCTGGTACTCTTTCCCTTTTCCAATAAATGTGGGACCCCCTAATCCATCCACCCCTCTTCGAGGCCAGCGTCCTTGCTAGCACACTGCCTCATGTCCACCCTTTTCGAGGCTCAACCTCTTCGCTAGCA